CTGCACTCTAACCACTGCGCCACCTCGGCTCTTTGGCTATATTATTTAGGTTCTTCTTCTGAAGAACCTAAATAATATAGCCAAAGGATGAAGAACCTCTTTGTTGTTGGGTGCCAAAAATGTGAGGGGCCGCGTACAAGAGGGTGCATGTGTGCCAGCACCCATAATGCAAAGCGCACCCCCACAGGCGCATGCATGCACAACTCCCCCCACGCTCCCCCACCACCACGCGCAGCGCACTATTCACCTCTAAGCTAAGCTTAGTATTTCCTCCGGGGGGGCCGAGGGGAGGCCGTTCCGCCCTCTCCAGCCTCCAGGAAAGCCTCCAGAGCCTGGGGAGGACGAAAAACGGGCCCAACAGACCTAGCTGAAGTTTGTTTCCAAACTTCCAGTTGGCCCGTTGGGTGCGTTTTTCACCCTCCCCGTGCTCTGGTGGTTTTTCTGAAGCCTGGGGAGAGCGAAAATGGCCTCCCCCGACTTTCTGGAAGCCGAAAATCAGCTGGCCGGTGCGCACATGTGCGCTGGAGCTGACGGCTCGCGTGCCAGCAGATATGGCTCTGTGTGCCACCTGTGACACATGTGCCATAGGCTCACCATCACGGGTATAGCCTTTATTGTCATTGTAGAAAATAAATACAACGAAATTGGTTAAATCTTCCAGGGCTTGGCTGATCATCTTGTAGTAAGAGGAGAAGGGCCCACAAGGCAGAGCTAGAGTGCAAAGGCCCATATCTCCCCCACAAATGAATCTTAGGACGCTGAGACCAACTCTTTGCTCAGTATCCCCACTAAGTGGCCCTTCCGCTTGGCCATGTCCAGGAGAAAGGAGTCGACTACCACTGTCAGAAATTAGGCCCGTTGTTGATCTGCTTTTACCATCCGGAGGTGTTCAGGGATGAATGCCAAGTTGTGGTAAAGTTAGAGGAAAATGGATTTTTCAGTTGCTGCTGGCTGATGAAATTACAGCTTCTAATTTCTGAGATATCCTGCCTGTCGTACAGTGTTAAGTGCAGGAGCAAAAGGGGAACACTGTTTCTTTACTTTTCTTGCGTAGCTTCTCAGAAATGTTGGCCTTGCCACTTGCAAACAAATTGTTGGCTTAGATGGGTGTGTTCCCCTTTACCTCCTAACCACACGTTTGATAAACATAAGCATTCATCAGTTGCATTGCCAGCATGGAAATATGTATTTAGTATTTTGCTCCAAGAGCTGTTTAATTATTTTAAATACCCCATACTTAGTCTGAAGGTGAAGCAGCTTCACTATTACGATTTGCCCAAACCTATGGCTATTCTTGCAGAAAATGACTCTTAGAAATTATATCCCGGAAAGCAGAGCCCTGGACTGTACTGTACAGGTAGTCCTCAACTTATGACCACAATTGAGCTCAAAATGTCAGTTGCTAAGTAAGACAGTGGCTAAGGAAGTTTTGCCCCATTTTACAATCTGCTTGCTACAGATTAGTGGTGGGTTCCTACCAGTTCGGACCAGTTCAGCTGAACCGGTAGTGGTTTGGCGGCCTGGGTCGCTGGAACTAGCAGTGACCCAGGCCTGCCACGCCCCTGAACTGGTTCCCCGGTTGGCACTGTCGGCGGCGCCATCTTGTTTTTCAGTTGCGCAAGGAGAGAAGCGCGCACACGAGCGAACCGGCAGTAGTGCCAGCCGGAACCCCCCCCTGCCACAGATGTTAGGTGAATCACTGCAGTTGTTAAGTTAGTAATAACAGTTGTGCTACTAACAACTGGCTTTCCCATTGACCGGAAGGTCGCAAAAGAGGATCGCTGCAACCGCCACGAGTCGGTTGCTTTGATCATGTGACCGTGGGGATGCTGCAGCGGTTGTAAGTGTGAAAAAGAGCCATAAGTCACTTTTTTTCAATGCCGTTGCAACTTTGAACAGTCACTAAACGAAGTGTCGTACGTCAAGACCTACCTGTACATACATTCAGAAAAGAGTTTGAGCCTACAAACCACGCTGGATGAGGAATTCTAGAAGTCGAAGTCCACGTATCTTAAAGTGGCTGAGGAGGAGAACCAGGGCCATATTATTGCTAAGATAAACAATAAATTATCCATACCGGTGATGGCTAACCTTTTTTGGCTCCTGTGCCAAAACCGGGGAGAGCGCAGGGGGGTCGTATGCTCACATGCGCGTGGAACCAGCGCCGTCCCCCCCACTTTGGCCGTGTTTTTTTCGCTTTCCCCAGCCTCCAGAGGCTTTCTAGGAGTTTGGGGAGGGTGAAAACATCTCCCTGTCCCCCCCCCTGCCCCCCCTGGGAGGCCCTCCGGAAGCTTCAGGAGCTTCCCTGAAGCCTCCGGAGTGCGAAAAACGGCCCTACGGGGAATCTAGAAGTTCGGGAATGGTGACTTCCGGTTTGTCCGTAGGGCCGTTTTTTGCCCTCCGGAGCCTTCAGGGAAGCCTCCTGAAGAAGGGCGAAGTCAGTTGACAGGGCAACGCCTCGTGTGCCCTAACAAATGGCTCTTCGTACCACCTGTGCCATGCGTGCCATAGGTTCGACCTCACAGATCTATACAGATGTTTTGAGGCAGTCAAACTGGGATGATATTGTAGTTCACAGAAAGACATGGTGAAAGAGCAGGCACAAAGTCCTTATTTGCCCTCTTTTTTTTTACTAATATGTGGTTACCCAGTTCTTCCACTTCTGGTTTGGAAGCTGGATCTCTATGGTAAGGAGTCTTTTTTAATATGAGCTTCCTGCAAAATTTAGAATGTTGCTCTAAGCACATCAAGATTTTACACGAGTGGCTTGGCGGCCTGGCCAAGGGGAGGGGGTAGAGAAGAGAGGAACTGGGCCACATGAGTGGCAGGCTGGTGTGCACACGCATGCATGCACAGGTCGACTGGAAGTGGAGCTGCATGCGCGAGCACCTTTTACACTATATACTATATTTCCTTCTGCAAGTGTTCAGCTCCCCATGTGTGGCCGCTGCAAAAAATATAACAAGTGATTTGTTTCGCTATGCCCTGCACTGCTCATAAAGCAGGTTAGTTAATGATTTAGTTAGGTCATTCTTTAGCATGTATAAGCCAAGCCCACTTGCTTAGTATAAATGCAGACAATCGTATAAATGCAGAAAAACGCTAACTCGGAAACCAAGTTAAGCTTTGTGTATAAACTCAGTTATACATTTCTAATCCCATGGGAATAGGACTGGGGGAACTGGTGCTAATTACTGGTTTAGTCATCCACAAAATTAAAGAGAGAATTCATTTCGGGGCTGTTCAACCTCTGCTAACAATTGTTTTGCAAGAAGGTGATAATACCTGTCTCTGTAAATGGGTCTTTACATGGACGTTAATAGCTTTTATTTTATTGTGGAAGTTAAAATTGCAGAGCTGCCTCACTAATTTTTTTTCTCTTTATTTTCAGCACTGGTCATAGCTGTCCTCCGCTTCATTCAGCTAAAGCCAAAGGTTTTGACACCATGGCTCAATATCAGTGGCTTGGTGGCCTTTTGCTTGGCTTCTTTTGGAATGACTCTTCTGGGCAACTTCCAGGTATTTTGTTTTCTCCTCCTTACTGGTGGGGTGGGGGTGGGGGTGTCACACCTTTCATTCTGCAGTAACATCATTTTGTTGCTTTTGGATTCGTGTGTTACATAAACCTAGTGTTGATCTCCTGCGGTAAACCAGATAGGAATCAACAACAAAAGGAGTTAATTCGGCAGAAATAATGAGAGTGATCTTGGCAGAAGCACTAATGATAACAAAAGTTAAGCTGATAAAAGGAGCAGGTAGAGGGTTTCGAATCCTTATAAGACATGCAATGAACAACAAGTTCTTAAGACAAGTCCATATAAGTTTTATCAAGAAAACACTTAGAATACAGACTTTCCTAATGGCAAGAGATATTGGACTCCACTATTTCTGGAAGGATACAGGATGATGAAATGAAATGTCACAATAAAATTTAGTTAAATGTAGTTAAATTTTGAGT